CGAGAACTGACAAGATTTCATTACAAAGTTAACAACCTAGCGTCGCCCGCAAAACCGACACAAAGACAGAGGCACCAATTAGTAAGACGTCACCGAAGAAACTGTAGACTGAAAGCGATTTGATTCCACATCGAGATGTGGTATTTCTTTATCGAGTAAACCGGATTTAAACTATCGATATAGTGCCCATTTCTAACTCATTGGGATTTGCCCTTTATCACAATCTTAATCCTTTAACCAATATCATACTCGTAGTTATTATCAACTAGGTACCTAATTTATCAGTAGTAGCTATTGCCAACGAATAAGATAAATGCAGTGAAATAAATTTTTTTTAAGACGATTATTATATTCTAAGTAGGTACGTGCATTTACGTAAAAACATTGGTGCAAATAATAATTAATTACTTAAGCTTGGGAATAGTAGACTGTTTCCTAATACTGATCAGCTAATTTTGGGGCTGGTGCCCTCGGACCCGGTGTTTCTATTGAATATTATCTTTATTATTTGTAACTGTAAAGACTATTTCCACCTCTCGTTCCCACCAATGCAAACTCCTGTGTAGCCAGGATCCACAGCTTGACCGCCACAAAAACCCAACCAATGAAGGTCAAGTGTCCCGGGGGAAAGTCAAACTGTCATTGGACTCGCAACGAAATTAATCAGAAGAACATAGGAGGAGTTCTAAATTAAGGTTCGATTTCCCTCCATTGCAAAGCGAATGACAGGTGACAAACAAAGGTTTAAAAAACCTTTAAGGAAAAAAATATGCACCACGGACAATAAATATCAATTAATATTAATTATTTGTAACTGTAACAAAAATATCGATACTACTCGAATTACTGTAATCGATATTCGACACATCCCTTCACGCTCTCAGCATTCGCTAATTCATATTGACCAGACACGTCATGTCAGAAACGCTACTCTTAATTGGATCTAGATCCAGACAAGTTCATTGTATTCTGTTTTCATATCAGTTGGTTATATGACAGATCTGCAAACAATGCAGCTCGTAAAATTGAAATTTACGTTCACGCCCGTATTCACAAACGATGCTTGCTTAAGTGAAGCAGATTGAACGCACAGCGTTGAATAGAGCTCTGTGATTGGTTCGCGTGTCACCGTGTCGCGTCCACGCGCACTGTGAGACCTCATAGTAATGTATGTGAATACGGGCGTCAGTTGTTTTAATTTATCAATAATTCGAGGAGGAGAGCGTTTGGATCTCGAATCGGCCAGTTTGGACCTATACCATAATGAACTATTGGTTTTTATTATTAACTAGCTGACCCGGCGAACTTTGTTCCGCCTTAATGGCAATAAATAAGCAGATTTTTTTTTAATTTCGAACAAAAAGTATCCTAGTATGTCCTTCTCCTGGCTCTTAACTACCTCCCTGACAATTTTCAGCTAAATCGGTTCAGCAAACAAATTAAATTGAATCAAAGTTCAGAACAAATTAATATTTAAATATTACACATTTTACCAAATATTGAAAACATACCAAAATCAATATGTGATTATTTTCACAAAACATCAGGCATTCCAAGAATTGTTGCAACAACAAACGGATATAGGATCCAATGACAGTTGACAGACTTGAGGGAGCCTTTATCTACATTGGAAGTCATTCGGCTGAAACGAATGAACGAATACCTAGTCATAGTCATAGTCATAGTCATATATGTTTATTGCATCATGTTGGTACATTTGGATCTTAAATATTAATACAGAGTCCCGAAACATGGCCCTGTAAGGGCATTGCAACATTAGGTATAGGTACATACAATATTAAAATCTAAATTATCAAAATAACAATGCTCCAATGATGCTCCAATGATGATGATAGCAAGTTATTCAATAATGCTGTTCTGTAAGGAATCCTTGCTTAAGACGTCCCGTAGCTGACCAGAAGCTATCAAAATAATTTGACTCCGCCAAGAACCAAACTGAACTCCTCGGAACTTCTCACATAGACTAACTTTAACGAGAACCGGTTTTTTAATGGAGTTTGACAGATTTTTGACATTAGAAAGTAAAATGGTGCAACCCAGCCTTACACAATCATAAGTGAGCAGAATGGCGCACGGTAAATTACGGCCAAGTTGATCGCAGCCTCGCGTGTAAAACACGTCGATCAAACCTTCTAGTTTTTCTTCGCAACCGTAATAATGATCAGTTTTGTTTTTCAAACTTTTCACATTACCTCCGTTTGTAGCAGTTGTAATAACAAGCAAGTAATGGATATTTGAAAGGCACATTAAATAATGCTTACATTTAATCGCTGTTTGTAGTTGATTGTGTACAGCCACCAGGCTCCATAATTACGAGTTTCCCCGATGGATTTTAACTTTACTTTTGTTATTGAGTTTAAAATATCTGTTAAGTACACTTTTAATAGTCCCTTACCTAGATTTGTCTTGTGTGGTCGTTTATACAGCCTTATGTTATGAAATAAATGTATTGACTGGTTTAGTTCTGATGGCCTCTGGTAAAATAGCAAAAATATGGACGTCCACCCACAAAGTGAACCGACGACCATATAAAGGCGCTGAATGCAGGCCGCTACCAACCGGGCGATATATGAGGAAATCATTGGGGAGGCCTACTTTCAGCTGTCAGGACGTCCTGTGGCTGAAATTATGATGATGATGATGATTTGGAAAACGATACACACATTTATCTTCTTAGCATTTTCAGAAATAATGTTGAGATGAAATGAAAATTTCATTCAATCGACTTGATATACCTTTGTTCGATTTAATTTCCTCAACTTGGCTCATCTAGTTTCTTTTTATGACAGCTGTAAAATACATTGTAGTCTTCATCTTTAAAGTGTCGTCAAATACATTTTACGGCAAAAGATAGATTAACAACGTAAGTTACAATGTTTCTATCAGTTCTGATAACAGAAATAGGACTGACTCTTAGGCTGGGTTGCACCGTCTTATTTTAACTTTGACAAACGTCAAAAATCTGTCAAAAATTTCCATACAAAAAACACCAGTTATCGTTAAAGTTACGGTCAAAGTTAGGTGGTGCAACTGAGCCTTAGCCATCATCTCACCTGATGGTGTGATGATCTGTGTCACCATGAGTTTACATTAGGTGTGCTCGCTATCAACTGCGTATCCTACTTCCTACAAATATTATAAATGCGAAAGTTTGGATGTCTGGATGTTTGTTACTCTTTTACGCTAAAAATGCTGAACGGATTTTGATGAAACTTTACAGTATTATTGTTTATAACCCAGAATACATAAATACCCTAAATTTCACCCGGGTGAAGCCGCGGTCAAAATCTAGTAAATTTTATATTAAAGGTGTGACAAATTTAGTGGCGACTTTCAAGCACTGATTATCTTCATAGATTTATGACTCGCTAGCGATGACAGTTAATACAAACGTATGGTATAAAGCTACGGGCCGAAGGTGGAAAGGAACACCACTCGGCCGGCAGGTGTGGTAAAATGAAGGATCTTACGCCCGTATTCACGAACATTACTATGATATCTCGCAGTGCGCGTGGACGCACAGGGTGACACACGAACCAATCACAGAGCTCTATTCAACGCTGTGAGTTCGATTAACTGCTTCACTTAAGCAAGCATCGTTTGTGAATACGGGCGTAAGTATCTATAAATCTATGTTTATCCTGATAATGCACTTCTGTTATTTTAAATAAAGCTTTCTTGGTAACGGAGCAACCATTTTTGCGTCCATTGCGTGTTACAAAATATATTTTATGGAGTAAACCGTTAGCACCAGTTGCAAGTGCATTTCAGTAGCACTAATATAAAAAAAATATATTATTATATATATATATATTTTTTTTATTAACTCAAAAAGTTAAAAGTGATTTCCCATTAAAATATTTGATAATTCAAAATGCTGTAGTTATGAGATTTGTAGAGAATTTTTTACAACTAAACCATTATGAAGCATAATTATTTATTGTATGTAACTTATTCAAGCTGAAAAATATTTGCGAGACATTTTCGTATTGCAAAAACATTTCAAATACACTAACGTCAATCCCGCTCCAATAAATGGAAGTGATGGACAGATGAACAGGCGTACAATCCGAAACTGTTCTATTCCTTTTGTGATATAAACAAAAGAAAGATGACAGTGTTTTGTTTTTTTATAGATATAAAGAATATTTTTTTCTGCGTGAAAGTTGAATGAACTTTGACATAAAACTTTAAAAAGCTTAATTTATGAAAATGTTTTTTTTAATGATTTGTAATGTTAGGTATATTGTAAATATTTAAAGCATGTAAGTAGTCGATGCAAAAATCAAACGAAAATGCTAGCAATATTTTTAGAAATATTTTTTGTACTGTTAAAAAATATACAATTAGTTGGCTCACCTTTTTTTTTTAATTTATTTATCAACTTAAAGACAGTTACATTGAGACAATTACATTTAGATAGCTTTAAAAACCACTAGGGTTTGATGTAAAGCTAATAACCTTTAATCCTATTTTAAACTTCTCTAAATAAAAGAAAAATAAGTAGCTAATAAATGATAAATTCCACTTACCTACATGTTTTCAGACTTCCAACTAAAATACTAACTCTCAAGTTAACGAAACGAAACGAACAAAAGTAAGTAAATTATTTCTAAAAGCTTTCACTCCTAAGATATCACAAAAGTTATCAAAGTAAATAAATAATGTAACGAATTATATTATCTAGATAGGGATTGTAATCATTTTTTTAAAACTTTAGTACCTATTTACCAAACATTTTCAATATTTAATTAATATTTAAAATCAAGTGGAGTGGAGGCCACGTACCGGAAAGCGCAGCGTAGGACGGCCACCCGCAAGGTGGACCGACGACCTCATAAAGGTAGCGGGAAGGCGCTGGATGCAGGCCGCTACCAACCGACCATTGTGGAAATCATTGGGGGAGGCCTATGTTCAGCAGTGGACGTCCTATGGCTGAAATGATGATATAATGATTTAAAATAAAAAAAACTACGTACCGTTACGTCCATTTGATTTGAACCTGTAACAAAAACAAAAAATTGTTAGTAATGTAATAAAAGAAGTCAATAATTTACATCCTATACTAATATACTGTATATTAGGCGGCTATATTTAAAATTTAGATAGATAGCGATCTATTCCAGACAACCAAGAAAACAGTTGTTTAGAATCTAAAAATGTATTCTTATTTTTGTTGCAAAAACGCGATCATAAATGTCACTGGTCGCATTACGTTTACGTTGCACGCCCGTATTCACAAACGATTGCGCAGCAAATAGAACGCACAGCGTTGAATAGAGCTCTGTGACGGGTTCGTGTGCCCTGTGCGTGCACGCGCACTGTGAGATCTCTTAGTAATGTTTGTGAATACGGGCGGTAGAGTCACGTTTATATCCTGTCACCCACTTAGGACAACGAATCACGAGTAGTGTCATGGACAATTTGGTAAAACAAAGTCCTGAACTAAAGTTCTTAATGTAATTTTTTATCTTCTATCTATACTTGTAATAAATCTGTAGAGATGTCAATTCTGTACATGAAATATATTTTCAAAATAACTATCAGGGGGTGATTAGTGATCGATACTGATGCCAAAAATGCAATCAGTTTTGTCTGTCTGTCTGTCTGTCTGTCTGTATGTTCCTTATAGAAACAAAAACTACTCGACGGATTTTAACGAAACTTGGTAGGTACAATTATTTTTCATGCTCCTGGGCAGGTTATAGTATACTTAGGAATTCCCACGGGAACGGGAATTAGCGGGAAAATCCTTTTGTGTGAAAAATCTAAACCGCTTAAGTTAGACGCTTGAAATTTGGCATGCAGGTATCTTAGTAAACTTAAAGCATAGTTATAACAGGATATTGCAAAATTCTCACAGGAACGGGAGTTAGCGGTAAAAAAATTTGTATGAAAAAATATAAGCCGCGTAAGTTAGACGCATGAAATTTTTAGTAAACTTAAAGCTTAGTTACAACTGGATATTGCAAAATTCCCACGGGAACGGGAGTTAGCGGTAAAAACATTTGTATGAAAAAATCTAAACCGCGTAAGAAGTCGCGGGCGGCCGCTAGTTTTACTAAAGCTGTCTTTAATTCACAGATTACTACATCGAGCAGAAGAAACAAAACAATAGGTCACCATACAAGTGAAACTTTTATTATTTTTCAAGAACAAAGCTCTTATTCCCAAGGCGCAAATTGAAAGCAATTTCTTTATTGCAAGGATTTAACTGCACCAGTTTTCTGTCGCTGAAAAGGCGCTTTTATTAAACAAGTCGGTGTAAAACTAAAAAAAACTATTTCATAAGGACGCCTTACAAAGTTGTATTTTAAATTTCCTCAACAGAATACTGTAATAGTTTCGCCCGTGTTTAAATTGTTCGTATAAAAGACGCTCGTCTCATATTCACCTGTTTAAAGTTTTGAATTACTTTGGAATGGAATAGTTTTTAAGTTCTGAATTTGGGTCAGGTGGAAGTGCTTTTGAAATAAATGGTTCACTTCATTTCATTTTAACGTTAAAATGGATTTATACATCATTAAATGAACGCAGCCTGCATCATCATCATCATTTCAGCCATAGAACCTCCACTGCTGAACATAGGCCTCCCCCAATGCTTTCCATGTTGATCGATTGGTGGCCGCCTGCGTCCAGTGTTTCCCTGCTACCTTAACGATGTCGCCGGTCCACCTTGTGGGTGGACGTCTCACGCTGCGTTTTCCGGTCTGCAGGCCGCGTCTGCGTCATGTATGTAAGAACATCATTATCAATATCTGTTCTGTATTGATTTGACAGTGCGGGTACGAGCAAAGAACGCAAACTGACAGATGCGGGCTGTTTTAATTTAGCGTCAAAACCCAATTTATTGTAATGGAAATAAGACGTCATGAGATATTATGTGATGTCATAGAAATACAGACAAAGGGCTTCATAAATTAATATCAAGCATCAAGAACGTTTTGCAAAAACTGAATCCAAAAGTAAATTTCAAATTCTGCAACTGGAAACTGTAGATTATTCTGGACACGGTAATGAATCGACGGCGCCTGCGATATTTCTTCAGAATTGATTGCATTAAGTACGAGGAATGGACGTTTTCAGCGAGTCTTTAAAATCCTGAAAGTAAAATGTCCAGAAGATAAATTAAACGGAAATTCTGAAAGACTGGAAGACTATTAGTGAAGCTTTGAGGCTGTTAAGGTTGCATATTTACTGAATTTGTATGACGTTTGAGGGTTTTTAGTTTCATAATTAAGTTATGATGTGCAGGACATCATTGTATGATTAATGCTACTTATAAAGTTGATCAAACTTTGAGGAAACAAATTAAACCTTTCATTGACCTTACTGAACAACCAAAAAAAATTTAAAATTAAAATGGTCCCAAACAATTTTCAATTTTATTGGAAGTATAATATCATGTGTCACTATCATGTTAATGAATAACATAAAGTAACAAAGTGACCCTAAAAGAGTTCCGTTTTTACCTTTTGAGGCACGGAACCCTAACAATGCAAAAATTGCCAATTGCACACTTTTCACAAAGTTCACAGCTGGTCTATATTGCATGGAAGAATTCCCATGACTCCGAAAGTTTGATGAAAGGCAATGAAGATTTCACTTCCACACCGTATTATTTCCAAATTTAATATGCCCTCAATAACACCTCCAAACCCACACATTTGGGTAGATATGAAAAAGGCAATTCGTTTTCCACACGCAGTGTAACAAACCCTATTTTCAGAGAGTGGATTTTACCGTATGCCTCAAAATTATGGGCCCGAACTTCACTGAACATTTTTCAGGGTATATTTTTGCGATATTCAAATTGCGTTCTTCGGTCGTTATTTATAAAGTTCTAGAATATAATGCTTTGTGAAATTCCGCTCTTAAGTTAGCCTGAAATACAGAGTGGCCTGTATATTATGATACGTACATCCATAACGGTAAGTGAAGTTATTAAATTTAAGGATATTAGGTAGACGTTGGTTCCTCTTAGTAAGCCTAAATTGTAACAATATTGGAAATAAACTGAGAAAATTTGTGTGAGGGTTAAGCAATCTTTAAATCTTGTTTATGAGGGAGGTAGCGGCGGTTCAGAATTTTCTAAATGATCGGTGTTTTAAATTCTAAAATAATAAGCATAATCAAAGGTAACAAGATACAGAAAACGGAACATACATATCAACACGTTTTTAGTAAAGAAACTAACCCATAACTTGCTCATGAAATGGTCGCTGGATAGAACCAACTAACCATAAGCCAAGGATGGAATCGGAAACGGTCCCAGTTCTTGTTATTTTTGAATGAAGGTGAGTTAAGTCTGCTTTCTTAGCTGGAAAATGCAAGATAAGTGTTTTTACTGCCTTCGCAAGGAGATTTTAAGTCAGTTGGGCTAAGATCGTTTTACAAGGCACTTCTTTGTGGAACAAATGAAAGTATAATGCACAACGGTATCTTGTCTTACGTAGAATTCTCTTGGAAACTCTAGAAGTATGTAATTGTGATTTATTTTTACAAAATATCTCTACTGAATCTGATCTCTATTCAGTGAATAGAATATCAGTAAACAAGAAAATTAAATAAATTATGTCGAAGAAGAAGAAAGAAGGCGATAGATAAAACGTTAATAAAACGAACAAACCACACAGTAACCAATTAACCATATCGTTTTCAAGTATACTAGTAAGTATACCATATCTAGTATTGAAGTAACGTAAACCACCAATTGGGCAGATGAATAAAATAAAATCCTTTATTTAATGTTGACTAATATTTGGCTTGCCACAGTTTGGAATATGGAAATTTTATAGTTCTATTTTCTCGGCTATCAACTAAACAATTGCACATGCTCGACAGTTCGTTCGTTCGTTCGTTTCAGCCGAAAGACGTCCACTGCTGGACAAAGGCCTCCCCCAAGGATTTCCACAAAGACCGGTCCTGCGCCGCTTGCATCCAGGTACTTCCCGCGACCTTCACCAGATCGTCGGTCCACCTAGTGGGAGGCCTGCCCACGCCATGCTCGACAGTAATCTTCCAAATTACCTTCCCAAATCTCTTCACAAAACTGCAAACTATAATTTAATCCAGCAATGATTTATTTATGTTTGTTGCATCTCAAAATGCTGAATAAGTGCGCCAATCCCAACTTTCCAGCATTCATCTTATTTTCTTCAACCGATGCTAGGGAATTACATTTGTTCCCAGTCCTGTGCCAGCGCTTTCTATCATAACTAAATTATTTGACGTCGCTGCTACGTATTTGAAAATAAGATTTCTAAATCAAATCACTTATTTCAATAACAAGTTCAGTGAATCTTGCTTTTTCAGCTTTGAATATGCATGTACCAACTATTTATATTCGAAGCGAGAAAGCCAAACCTTAGAGCCAAAACACACGATGCGTTGCCGCACCCGCAAAGATTTCGCCGTTTTACAGCCCCCCTAGACTAATTGCACTTTTTGATCGAATCGAAAATAGAATCCATCTTAACCATTATTCGAGTGGTTTGCGATTATAATGTGCACTTTGTCTAGACCCACAGATATTTCTTTGTAAGACGACGCAGCGACGCCGCTCTGGCATCGCACTGCCGCGCGCCGCAACGTATCGTGTGCTTTGGCTCTTAATCTTATCTAAGTTCTATTCGACTTCTAAAATTAAAATTGAATTTAAGAAAAGGATTTTGTTTTCGGTTTAAACTGAGACCTTCGACCGGTTTAGATTTCATCGACCCCAGATGCCTTATTAGTTTACAGGGTAGCTTGACCCGAGGGTTGAACTTTGCACCTTATACCCACGCCATAAGTACCGTACTTACTTGTAGTGTTGCATAGCTAACGATAGTTTACTGTCAACAGTATCGATAGTATAATCTTGTAAAATATGATCATCATCAGAGGTGGAATTGTGTTAAGCAATCGTAATCATTTGACAGTTCATAACGTACGATAAAGTCTGTTAAACAAAGCGTTTGACAGAATATTCGTTACAATTCCACCTCTGGTCTTTTGAAA